ATCGATGCACTTATTTTTATTATAGGCCTTACTATACTAAGTGCATAAAAAATGTATTATTTTGAACAACTTTAAATATGTTAAGTGTTCTTTAAGATATGCTTAAGATGAACTTTAAGCTAATTACAGTACATTTTAATATATTTAGTTGTGTTAAAATGGAACAACTTCAAGTAACTTTAGTGTAATTTAATTGTACTTCTTTACATTATTTAAAATACACTTTTATACTTATTGAAGTACAGTTATATTTTAAGCCTGACTTTAATATTCTTCAAGAACATTTTCAATAGCATATCAGCTCAATGCATTAGTAGTACACTATTAGTTTGTTATAAAGCTATTTTCAGCCTTCTAAAATTGTATATTAAAAAGTACAAAAATCATTGAACTTGCATGACACACATACACACACTTTCACATCTTAATGTACTATATCTTGTGTACATTACAACAATACATTCCTTGAGTACATATAAAAAGCACAGCAGCTTTTTTAGCATATAAACTCTTGTCCAAAATAATTATAATAAATTCAAATAAAGATCAGGGGGATGCTATAATAGAACTACTTCAATCAATTTGTAGAAAGTTTCTGTTATACTACTGGAAAGTACACTATGAATGTTCCATCACTGAATAAAAATGAATCACAATGCAATTTTCTGCACACACACATAAAGAAGTTACTGATAAAAAATAAAGCATAGAGGTGAAAAGTGCTTTTTTTTTTTACAAACTCGAGTTAGCCAAACACATTTAGCATGACACTCAGGGTCCCAATAGTCATTTTATTAGAAAATATGTCAGCTTTGAGATTCATTGATATAAGATCAAAACATGCTTACCACTCTCTTCTTTGCTCATCTCTCTGATCTGATTTCAGTTTGAAGAGTTCAGATGCAAAAGCCTCTAAGTGCCATCTGAAATTTTCTTCTAAAAATAGCATTTTTATCAGGTTCCTATGTTTAGGTTCTATAATTTTAATTTAATGGAAATGCATAGGCCCTTTTCTATGCATTAAAGTGAAATAAATGAACATAAATAGAGGAGCCTGATAAAAATGCACATTTTAGATGAAAATTTCAGACGGCACTTCATTTGTCTTCTATTGCAACAGCAGCTGATCTGAAAACAACAAATTAAAAATAAAGTCAGGCAAATGATGATTAGTAATTTGTTTTCTTTTTAACAATGACATTACAATGTACCTGGTGGGTAATATAATCAAAACCTTCTCAGCCTCAGCAGTTTCAGATGTCTTCTCTCTTAAAGGACTACTTCACTTCACCTAAAAATGTCCTGATAATTTACTCACCCCCATGTCATCCAAGATGTTCATGTCTTTCTGTCTTCAGTCGCAAAGAAATTAAGGTTTTTGAGGAAAACATTCCAGGATTTTTCTCCATATAATGGTCCAAATTGCAGTTTCAATGCTGCTTCAAAGGGCTCTACACGATCCCAGCTGAGGAATAAGGGTCTTATCTAGTGAAATGATCGATAATTTTCTAAAAAAGATTGAATTTATATAATTTTTAACCACAAATGCACAAAATGCAGTAGGTTGAGCTTGTTTGAATTTAGGAACATAAGCAAGTAAATAAATATGGATATTAAGCGTATCTTTGGAAAAATGATTTATTATACACTTAAAATGATACGATGTTGAAATGCTTCTGGAAAGTACAGTTAAACAGTAGCCTATTACAATTAATGTATAATGTTATGTATTTAAAAGTGAAATTAAAATGTATTTGAATTGTATCAAAACACCTAGTATTCTTTTACGAATACAAACAAGTAAAACCGAACAACATATTAATTTTAAGTATGCTAATTAATTACTAAGGCATAGTCAACAAAATTATATTTAAAATACATTATAAGTTGGTACAAAGTAAGAATGCATTTGTATATTTTAAAGGCCTAGCTATAATGTATTTATGTGTGAGTGAATTAATATACTTTATAGAATATATTAAAATGTTAAAAATGTTTTGCAAGATATCTTCCTTTTGAAAAATTTGATTTATGTTCATTACATATTTAAAATATATTTCAGTATAGGTCAGTGGCGGCTGGTGGAACATTTTCTAGGTACGGCGCCACATCCAACAATTTTAGCATACATTCCGGTATGATTTATCCCAGTAACAAAAGGAAAATTCTTAAGACTTGAAACATTTTAAATAAAGGTAATTGTTTGACCAAGTTCAAGATTGAGGATAATTCCCACAAAATTTTTCAAAAAAAAAAAAAAATATATATATATATATTTTTTTTCATAATTCACAGTTTATGTATACAGTGCAACAAGAAAAACTTTGAGGAAAAAATAAATGTTACATTTGTTTAGAGCATTGTCAAGCTGCAATACCAAACAGGAGCACACGGAGATGCCAATAGACCAATACCAGTCGCCTTAACCTGACTGTATATAGATATATACAGATCCATTCTGAATTATTAAACAGAGCCAAACACAAATCAAAAAAGCAAATAAAAACATTCTGAATTTGTCGAATGTGGTGATCTGAAGGAGGCTCAACATGACCAGTGAATGGTTCCTCTGTGAGTGTTGATGCCCATATGACTGCAGCAAACTCCTATAAAAACACACTTCTCCAGCGAGTGTCCTTATAAAACACTTGCCATGAGACATGAGACCATACTGAAAAGCGCACACACACGGTCTGTTTGTTTGCACATTAATAACAGACTCGTGTGTCTAATGGTGTACGATTGCTGTACAGTATGTCACTGTAATATTCTTTACCTCCGTTACAGTTGTCATCTATCTAAGCTTTACTGGTGAGATACTGGTTTGCTTTATTCAACCCATACAGACTAGTCCTGACTTCGTAGTTCTTATTAATAGAGGTATGTTTGTTCCCACCAATCGCTGCACAAGTTAAGGTTACGTATGATGACGAAAGCACGTTAGTGCTAGCCCTCCCGGAACTTACAGAGATTGCATTGCAGTCACAGGCCCTATCCCAAATGGCACACTTAATGTGCACTTGCGGACTTACAATGGCCGCCGCGTTTGTGTGTCCCAATCGTCATTTTAGCTTCAGAAGGGTGCTCACGAGCGCCCCCTTTGCGGCCGCTATGAACTCTTGATGCGCACTTCTGCCGAGCCCGCATTGTCAGGTAGAAGTCTGCTCCGCAGCAAGACTTCTACCTGACAATCAAAGCGGCATTATGTCACGAATGTGTGGACTCAGAGGAAGACCGCGAGGGTTTAGGGTGCAATGTGAGACAGGGCAAATGGCACAGTTCATGTGCACTTGCAGTCTTGCAGACTTACAATGTACACCACGTGCACGTGTCCGTTAAGAAGACCACAAGACCGCAGGGTGTCCCATTCGTCATTTTAGCTTTCAGAAGTGTGCTCACGAGCGCCCCCTTTGTGGCCGCTATGCACCCTCGATGCGCACTTCTGCCGAGCCTGCACTGAGGCGAGCTCCGCAGCAGACTTTTACCCGACAATCAAAGTGGCATTATGTCACATAAGTGTGGACTCAGAGGAATACCGCGAGGGTTGAGGGTGCGATTTGGGACAGGGCCAAAGACTCTTTTTTTTCTTTCTTTTTCTTCGAACTGCAGGCACTGTATGGAACTTACAGTGTATGGGGTGATTCTCGGCCAGAGTGAAATCGCCCAAAAAGGGTTGGGACTCCACATAATGTGACTTGATGCTGATTGGACTATACATCCAGAGGCAGAACAAACAGTCTAGAACAGTGATAGCTGTGGTTGAATGTGTGATAGAAAAAAATCAGTCCTTTTAGTACTTTGGTTTTGCGTCGCCCTATCACCACCCCTGCAGTAGGTCTACGTATGGTTATAAATAAGAGACATATACTTTAAACCCACTAAAAGCTGTATAATTTTACTACGTTCTTTTACAAAGTAAGCATAAAATATACTTTAGGTAGGATTAAAATAAGTATGTTTTCTGTAAATATACAAAAATGTCACAAAACGTATACTTGTGTTTTAGCATATTTCTTAAAAGCGTAACTAAGCATATATTTATTACCAACATACTTCTAGTATACTTTTTAAAAATATATTATTTTAATATATTATATTATTTAAAATATATTTAATGCACTTAAGGTAAGCATGTTAGGAGTACAATTGTACTAGCCTATAAATATACTATGTGAATTTCAAGTACATTTTTAATACATTTAAGAGTACTTTTTCATGGGAACCATACATTTCTGCCAAAAAGTCCAGAAGACCAGCTTAACCTGGGTTTTCGGCATGGATAGCATGCTTGTAGCTATGGTTTGTCAGAAAATAGGTTACCATGGTATAATTCTTCAGTAGATGTGGTTTGTGAGTGAAGCAGTATCATGTGTTTAGTAACACATCCTTTAACGTCACTATTTCAGACACTTCGAGCTGTTTTTGTTGACTTCTGGCGATGACACAGTTTGCTAGTTTGTTTTTGCTGTCTTATCTGCATTTTGCAATTCAGCATATCACCTCCTCTCGTCCGTGTCCTCATAGTTAAAGAAAAACAAGTTCATAAAACAGTGACATAAAACAATGATTTTATGTCAACGTATTACCTGAATAGCTGTACTGTCTTAGAGGTTGTTACATCTTCATTCACCTCATAACTCACCTCCTGGCTAGTTCTAATATGCAGTTTAGGAAATAACTCTATAATCAATAAACTCAGTCGAAAATATTGATTTCAGCATTGATGATAAAAAGGACCTTCCGTTTAATGAGGCGTCAAATCTAAAAACTATTTCCTGTACAAAATCGAGCCCAATTCACCTGCTTCTTCAAATGCAGAATTGCAGATAAACATCTAGTTCACCTGTTCATTTTTCAATGCAGCGGCAGACTCGCAGCTGATTGGCTGATAGGTGCACTCAGCCTCCTGATGCAGCCAATAGAAACGATTCAATGCTTTCCCACATGAAACCGCTACAAATTCGTCAGTTGCAGTGAAACAAGCTCTCAGTAGGCTAAGTGCCGGTAACTGCAGGAGGCACAGAGAGAGGAGAAGAGGGAGAGAGCAAAGGCAGCAAGGGGAAGACCACTCTGTACTGAAGGGCTACAAAACTTGTTTGCCTGCCTCTCAAAGGTTTGTGTTTTGTTTTATTTGTTATAACTATATATTATTTTATAAGTATATAGGCCTATTTTATTTATACTATTTTTTATTTTATTTTAAGCAAATGCTTGTGTATTATAGTTAATAGTACAAATAATAGTAGTAATACAGTTAGTTTGTTTCACTACAGTTAGTTTGTTACACTTTAAGACAAAGAATATTATTCTTTCACGCACTAAATGTTAATTTTACATTAAAATTCCATTTCAAAAAGTGCTAAACTTTAATAAGAATAATAATGCATGTGTGTTTGAAATACAAGTCACACTAAGATAAGCCTAAGATAATGTCATAATGTGTTATGTAGCTTGAATAGCTCTCTTTTTTGATATTTTGCATCTAATCAATGTGTGGGATCTGTTGTAATGTGAATTTTGTAGTTTTGGGACCCCTCCCTGTCACTATTCTTACACTGTATTGCAAAACAGCCTGAATGACTTTGAAAGAACTGACTCTGAAAGTGATATGCATAACAAAGAACGTGTGAGTCTTTGAAGTGGCTTTAGAGGCTCATTCACACGTCTTAATAAGAGTTCAAGAACTCAATTTTTAGGACTGTCTTCATTTTAGTTCTGTCTGCAGTATGCTTCTATTTCATCCCATGCAGAAATGTTTAACTTGGTCATTACATTAAAATGACTTCAACACACCTCTCTCTCTACTTTATCCACAGATTGTGAGGGTTGATTCCACCAGACACTGTCGACCACCCTTTTCCTCTTATCTGTCTGCTATCCTACTCCTTGCAGCCATGGCACCCACTCTAGCCACGGCATTTGCCCGCCGCTGGTGGATGGCAATAACAGCCATCATTGAAAACCTGCTCTTCTCGGCCGTTCTGCTGGGTTGGGGCTCCTTACTCATCATGCTGAAGTCTGAGGGCTTCTATTCATACCTCTGCACAGACCAAGGTAAGAATCCTTCTTAAATATAATGTAACATAAAGAACAAGAACTCAAGAAAACTTTGCAGCAATTTAGAAGAGCCATTGAGGAACATTTAGGTTACATGGTCCGCAAGTCAAGCTTGTGATCTTACCTATGAAAGAATTTAATTTAATGCATGAGTGTGTTTTATTTGTCACTACGCATATTGGCAAATTCCATCCATCCCTTCGTTCCAATCTGACGTTGAAACAAAGACTGTATCTGATAGTACTTGAAAGATCCTACTTTTAAAGTCACATGTGTATTGTACAGTAATCCATCACTGACAGTAGAGTTTTATGTGGAGTAAATAATTGCGCTCTACAGCAAAACACTTTTGTGGTTACACTCTCTAAGGAGGAAGAATGACGTTTTGCCACAGGAGCCTCACAACCACAGACACCACAGACTTCCATTAAATCAGCTGGTAGTCACAGTAAAACATAGGAATGTTGAAAGGCTTTCCACAGGGATCCTGACCTAATCAAGTGCATCTTTAAATTGAGAGGCCTACCGCCTGTCAGATGTAAATTAAGATGTTTATCATCTCAGTTAGAACCGCAGACCTGCTGATTTGCTCATAATTGATTGATTGAACTCTCTTTGGTATTGATTAGCATCACATTAGAACATGTTTCAGTCTTTTTGTGGCTGGTAATGCCCTTTTATCACTGTCCTGTTCTCTCTCAGGCATTTTGGGCTTGATTTAATAAAAGATGAGGACATTGAGACCTATTTAACCACAAAAGCTGGTTTGAAATTCCCAGGCAGACAAGAAAAAAGGGGGTAGAGGATGGGCAGAAGATGAGAAAAAGAGTTGTTTGTGAAGGAAACAGTAGGAGGCTTATCGTTTGGGTAGATCTAGGAATAAAACTTCTTCTGGGTGGAGTGGTGGGCATCTTACGTGTCTGTCTGTCTGCTTGGCATGGCATTTTTGCATGGAAAAGTGCTTATTGTTCCCTTTTGCTGCTGTCATAGTTCCCGTTTTTTGGCATTATTCAGCTGATTTGACTGCCCTTTCGGTCAGTCACATTATTGTGACGTAATAAGACTGTCTCAGCAAAAATCATCTGTGTTCAAGACAGTATAAGTCCACAGATAAGTCTCAAAGGACAATATCTTGAGGCATTAGTCTTTGACCATTTTGAATGATGCGAAGCATGTGAGGACTCTTGTGGTTTAGTACAGTAGGTTCATGTATGCTCCTCTATCAACTCTTCGATTGAATGCACAGACTCCCGACCTGTTTTTTTTTTTTTTTGCTGAGACCAGGTGACTGTTATCTCTCCAGGTGTGACTTGCACATTTGCACATCAGTGTGGCCTACGTACACAATCTTTGGTGCATCTTTTGTAATGTTTACAGTGGGAACACTGTTCACACATCAGCTCAGTTTAGAAAAGAAGCCAGAGCAAGCCTCAGTTCTTAGCAGTCGAAGTAAAACCCAACCCTTCATGTAGCGTTAAAAAGTTCACAACCAGGTGCCAAACATGTCAGAATATTCTGCACTCAGTTCTAAAGCACGCTTGGAGTTGGAAACCTCCTCTTTGTTGTGGAAGGAAGGCACGTGCGTCATCAGGATGACACTGGCACAGCTGAGTGGATAATTATAGCAAAGTCACTGTTTCCACACCAATAATGCCACTGGGTGGTATCTTGAGGTCTGAAAGAAAGATTTTGGTCTAATTTACTCACACTTCTCCAGGAAAGTGTTATTTTTCTAACCACATTTAGCATTTTTCAGAGAAACGTCATACTTACATATAGGATGGAAAAATATCCAGATTAGTATAAGGTCAGGTCTGATTATCTATATATGTCTCCAGTGAGCCAGCAGCTATTAATTGAGTGTCACCTGGTTCGGTATCAGTAGTTTATACCTGTATGTACAGTTTCTCACAGAAGTGAGTACACCCCTCACATTTTTGTAAATATTTTATTATATCTTTTCATGTGACAACACTGAAGAAATGACACTTCGCTACAATGTAAAGTAGTGAGTGTACAGCTTGTATAACAGTGTAAATTTGCTGTCCCCTCAAAATAACTCAACACACAGCTATTAATGTCTAAACCGCTGGCCACAAAAGTGAGTACACCCCTAATGGCACTTTTCCACTGCGTGGTACGACTCGGCTCGGTACGGCTCAGTACGGCACGGCACGGCTTGGCTCGACTCGGCACGGTTTGCGTTTCCACTGCAGTTCAGTACCGCTTTAGAGGGGGCGGGATTATTCACATGTCGTTATAGTTGCGCCGCCTCTACTACCACGACTCCTAAAAAAAAAAATCCTTTTTCATTCCGCGTCGCCCCATCAAGCTCTCGCTGGATCCGCTCCTCTGCTATCAACGAGAGGAACCAAGAGGGTTAAGGCAGTGCTGGAAAATAATGGTGGGCGCACAAAATATTGACACTTTGGGCCCAATTTGGACATTTTCACTTAGGTGTGTACTCACTTTTGTGGCCAGCGGTTTAGACATTAATGGCTGTGTGGTTATTAAGTTATTTTGAGGGGACAGCACATTTACACTGTTATACAAGCTGTACACTCACTACTTTACATTGTAGCAAAGTGTAATTTCTTCAGTGTTGTCACATGAAAAGATATAATAAAATATTTACAAAAATGTGAGGGGTGTACTCACTTCTGTGAGATACTGTATGTGTGTGGTGAGATAATATGGAACAGGATTGTCCAATAGTCCAAAAGGACGATTATAAACATTGTTCCTGCAGCAGAACAAGATAAAGGAAGAGCAAATGTTCATCTTTCTTCTTTCTATCATTCCCAGCCCTTATCTCAGGTTTTACTGAGACCACATAATGGTGATTCCTCATTCCAAGCATTTTATTGCTGTTTATCTCAGACACCTTGGAGAACAGCTGAGAAGACCAGCTTAAACCAGAATTCATTCCAGGCTGGTTTATACGGGTCTAGCCATGCTGTTCAGTGGTGAAACTCGGTTAGTCATTTGGAAGTTCAAGTATTTGTGCATTTTCACTAAATGGACACCATAGCTACAAGTTAAAGGGGTAGCTCATGACTTTCTTTCTTCTGTGGAAAACAAAGAAGATACTTTGAAGAATGTCTGAGTTTCCATACAACAAAAGTCAATGTTGCTTGGACCCCAAAGTTCTGCAAAATACCTTCTTTTATGTTCCACAGAAGAAAAAAACTCATACAGGTTTGGAACAACATGAAGGCGAGTAAGTGATGACCTTCTCAGGTGTACTTGTTTATATAAAATGCTCAGACAATTCTGAAATCTTGAAGCAATGTTGGAATGTCCTTACCTTAATCCACTGACCGTTCCACCCATGGTGTGTTGACAAGGCTGTAGAGTGCAAGTTTTGAGAAACCCCAGCCAGGAAATTCAAAGAACTATGATGAGGTATGGGAGTCCACACATGTTGCATCTGCATGATTGGACAGCAACCAGAATTACAAGTACCTGATGCTTACGTCACAGTATAAGTCTCACAGCAAGGGCACGCGTGAACATTTTTTACACCAACATCTGACTTTTCTCACTCTCTCTCTCTTTATTGACATGATTTAGCAGAAATGGTAACCTGTTGAGTAGTGCAACTCAAATGGGTTGGATATTAGGTCACATCAGTCAGTGTTCAAGCTGATTTTTGGAACATGGTAGCTTCTGCTGCATGGTAGCTTAGCCTTTTACATCTCTCCTCTCTTCCTTCTTTCCCAAAGGAAATAGCTCGATTGCAAACCTCTCCTTACCAGCTGTTCCTTCATCACTGTCGAATGATGAAGAATATGAATATGACGAATTCCAGTCTCCCCAACATGATGGTGGGGTGGAGATGGTCCCTCTAAACCATCCAGAGGACAATCTGAGGATGAACGGCTGGCTCATCTGTAAAGAACAGGATGAGATGCTCAATTTGGCCTTCACCGTGGGCTCCTTCCTCCTCAGCGCCATCACACTCCCTCTCGGAATCGTCATGGACAAATACGGCCCACGCAAACTCCGTCTGCTTGGAAGGTATAGCATGTGTTTAATTTTTCAATATCATTACTATACCAGTCACATGATGGACAAGTTATTAATGAAATGAAAAATGTGTTAAGTGTGTATCCTAAGGTCAGATCACAATACAGACGAATGACCAGAAAAGTGTTTAATTTTCCATTATCAACTGATCTGAGTGTTGTATCTTCATTTCCAGTGCCTGCTTTGCCCTCTCGTGCCTTATGATTGCTTATGGAGCCAGCAACCCAAATGGTAAGAACATCATGTATGCAATTTATGTGTCCATATTTAGTGAAACAGACATCAATGTTGTAATAGATACTGATAATATTCCATCATTTAACATCTGCTTGTTTTTACTAGATCTGTCTGTTTTGATCTTCATCGCTCTGACCTTTAATGGCTTTGGAGGAATGTGTATGACCTTCACTTCACTTACGGTGAGTGTGTGTTAACTTATTTATGAATGTACACTTCTTTTGTGTGTGTGTGTTTTGATGTGTTTGAACTTGCTTGCTCCAAGTTGCTTGTAATATTTACATTGCTAATTAAAGGGGTCATATGATGCGATTTAAATTTTTCCTTTCTCTTTGAAGTGTTACAAGCTCTTGGTGCATAAAGAAGATCTGTAAAGTTGCAAAGACTAAAGTCTCAAATCCAAAGAGATATTCTTTATAAAAGTTAAGAGTCAACCATGCCTACCTAAAACGGCTCATTCTAACACGCCCCCACATGTCTACGTCGCCGGCCACTCCTTCGTCGAATCCGCCGGCCGCGCCATTCTCAAACCCGCCGGCCGTTCCTCACTGTAGGCCGCCACCGCTCACTTTAGCCCGCCATGTGAAACTACTTTGTTTGGCCTTCCAAAAGAGGACCAATGAGGCGCACACTTTTTATTTAGTCTTATTGAATAGACGATAAACGGTTTATATTCTAAAATCTATTTAAAGGTTGTGTTCTGTGAAAATTAAATAACATTTGGATGTAAATGGTCGGCATAAAAGTAGTGTGCGGCTAAACCGGCTGCGTCCTGTGGATCACCTTTATCTGATTGTCCGGGTCCGGAATCATTAAGCACAGCATTAATATCTTCATCTGAGTTTTTCGTTGTCTCCAGATTTCTCTGCAGTTCGTGTATGTTGTTAAAAACGCGGGAACATCATTTTATTCCACACAACAGGCAAGCATTACCGTTAAATCTATTATCCACCAAAATGCAGATTCGTCACGTGACAATTCTTACGCAAATGAGATTGAGGGAGACGTTAAGTTTGTTTTGATTTATTAATTTACTTACAATAACAATTTAAAATATATTAACTTTTACGTATTCACTTTTACATGTATTATTAACTGCATTATATGCATTTTTACTTCATAGAAAAAACGTTATAAATAAATATTTAGTACAATTCTTAAATCGCTATGGGGGAGCCAGGCCCCCCTGGCCCCCCCACAAGCTACGCCCATGAGTATGTGGAAAATAATGTGTTTTGTTAACCGTAAACTGCATAAACACATTTTGGACTGTATCCACCATATAAATTGTAGAGGATACATCCCATTTGATATTCAGCTTAGCCAATAAGGGTTTTTCAGTGGTTGATTCTTGAATTGTTACATCGGGTGCCCTTGATCCTGCTACATCCAGGCTAGTTAGACGTCTCTATGTCTCTTTTTCCTCAATCTCTCTTATTTGAGCGTCTCTCAAGCGTGGTGCAGCAGATTAATCATTAGACCCATCTGTGCATCTTACTTCAGAGTTTTTCCCGCTGACTCGCTCTTGTTGCTGCACTGGTACCATGCATTAACTCCTGATGATGTACTATCCAGTGTGCTGACCCAATAAGAATAGCCTGCGGTTATCATGCACTCAGCATGATCTGAGGAACTATTTGACCATGAACTCACAAGAACACTCACACCCAGAGTCCAAAATTAACTTTTTGCCACACGCTAATGGCCATGAACTGAGAAAATTAAAAAGAGATACCTGCCTCAAAATGTGAAGATTACATTGATGGCTTAATGCAAAGGTTTGTTGCTAATAATGGGAGCGTTCTTGCTTGCCAATGTTGCCTTTTTCCCTTGAAGTGTAAATGAGTTGGCAAAGTTGCATTACAATTGATTTTGGAGAATACCTTCACACCAGTTCTGACAGGAATTCTCACAAAACACAACTCTTCCATTACAAACCTGCTGATCACACACTTTCAAATGCATTCTTATGTAACAGGACACTCGCTGTTGCTCATCCATTTGTTGTCACAGGAACAAGGCATAACTGTGAGCAGGCTGCCCCAGTCTGTGCTCCAATTAGAGTCATAAAAGAGACTCGGCTTCAGCCGGTTCAGACTGGATGGATCAATCCTCAGTTCTTACTGCCCCAGTTATTTCAGTTTTATTGACAATGAGGAACCGAAAGTAAAGTACAAAGGAAGTGTGGATTAAGTGTTCAAAAATATTTCGGGGCCACTGGTAGTGTTCTAGTTTTCTTGTCATCTGTCAATTATTCTTTCTCTTATTTCTTTCTTTCAATCTCCCAACCTCGTTCTGCGGCTGTAGTCAGTGCCTCTGAACTGAGACTGCTTTTACTGTTGATTTGCTGTGCTTTCGTCAGTTCATAATTGTTGGCCATCTCTCCTTGCCTGTTGCCATTTTTAGAGAAAGACTGTGGATCAGTTGTCTTCATATCAATGCTCTGAATAGCCACAGTCTGAATAAGAATAGGATAAGAATATTACATTTTAAATTATAATTAATAAAAAGAACTTAAAAATACATGTAATTTAAATAGAACAAATAAACATGATTTTGCTCATATAAATTATATAATTATAACGATATAATAAAAAATGAGATAAAATTATATTCTTAATGTATTTATAAAAAAAAAAATCTGAACATTTTTCTTTCTTGCCAGGATTGTTATGGATTATTTAAATGATATTAAAATAATAAAAAAAGCATTATTTAAATTTTTTTTTAATAACTTAAAAAAAATTATTTTTAATTTAAATAAGTATGATTGTTATGAGTTATATACATTTTAAATGAATAAACAAATTAGATTAATTAAAAATTAATTTAACCAACTGAATCTGTTCCCATGTGTCCTTCCAGCTGCCCAACATGTTTGGCGACCTGCGTGCCACCTTCATCGCGCTCATGATCGGCTCGTACGCTTCCTCGGCTGTCACCTTTCCTGGGGTCAAGGTTTGTTAGATTAAGCAATTGGGTGAAAAACAAGTGATTATAATGGCGCATTATGTTCTTAGATAATAAATGTTTATATTTTCAGGTGATCTATGACCTTGGTGTGACCTTCGTCACGATTCTGGTGGTCTGGGCGGGCTGTGCAGGCCTGGTATTCATCAACTGCTTCTTCAACTGGCCCTTGGAGCCTTTCCCTGGACCCGAGGACATGGACTACACGTAAGAAACACACATACACCCTTCTCATACACATTTAACATCTATAATATATGACACCCGTTCTGTATTTGTATCTCTCTATCTCTCTATCTATCCAGTGTCAAGATCAAGTTCAGTTGGCTGGGATTTGACCATAAGATTACAGGAAAGCAGTTTTATAAGCAGGTGACGACAGTGGGCAAGCGTCTTAGCATGGATAACACTCAGAAGCAGAAAGAGCTAGCCAAAGAGGGTCACAAACTCTGCCTGTCCACCATGGACCTGGAACTGCAGTGTGAGGCCAAGGAGGAAAGTAAGTGACAATTTTTAAACAGGTCCGACACAAGAAAAGACCGAAAATATGCTAATATGACAGGCCAATAACTAATTTAAACTAACTCCATTTTCCTTTTCTTCCATGCAGCTCAGTCGTTCATGCAGAGTATATTCAGCCCTCTCTTCATGTTGAGTCTGGTGACCATGTGTGTAACTCAACTGCGTCTCATCTTCTACATGGGAGCCATGAACAATATCTTGGAGTCCCTCAGCGGAGGAGATCTCAACACAGGTGAATAAGCATGTTTGAATGTGTTTTCAGGGTAATTCTGATTTGAGAATGCAGCATAAATGTTTTTGGAAATAAAAAAAAAACAAAAACAGTAATTCTGATGTGTGAACACACCAAAACATATTTTCAGAGCAAAAAAAAAAACAAAAAACATTTTAATTATGATAATTCAGATATGTAAATGCAGAAAAAAATCTGGCACTATTGACATTATAACTGGCTTTTAAATTGCTTTTTTTTTTAACTATTTTTGCAGTTGAGAGAATGGAATTGGGTAAGAATCTCAGTAGCACAGTAGAAACCAGTAGAGCGTGTCTTCCCTAAAGCTTGTTATTCTAACATTTAACCTTCTCCTGTACTCACGTCAAGCGTAACCCACTCCCTGCCCACCTGTGCTCTGGGCATTAATGCATACACAAGCCTGCAGAGTGCCATAAACTCAGCCATTAACCAGAGTAGTTATTAACTAACCTCAGACGTTATCTATTACACAGTGTTATAATCTGTCTCTCTCTTGCTCTCTCAGTGAGCCTCTACACCTCCATTTTTGGCATGATGCAACTCTTGTGCTTGATGACGACGCCGGTCATCGGTCAGATCATGGACTGGAAGCTGAAGGAATGCGATGATGGAGAAATCAATGAAAAAGAGCCCAACAAGTAAGTTATGAAACACTTTTGAGTTATCTATGGATGTAGACGTGACTTAAAATAATCATGTTTGAAGCTCAAAAAGTCTCTATTTGCTCCTTGTCTCCAGGGACGAGCCCCAGCCCAAACGCAGAGACAGACAGATTCAGAAAGTCACCAACGCCACACGGGCCTTCATCTTCACCAACATCCTCCTCGTCGGCTTTGGCATCACCTGCCTAATTCCCAACCTCCCTCTCCAGGTGTGTGTTGCGTACGGAATTAATCCCGCAATATGACAGGCATTTGACAATATTACTGAATATTACTGGTTGACACATTTAATGTTGCACAATGCATAGTGTTTTTTTTTTTAAATAGTATGCAGTATGCAGTGTATAAGATTTTTTTAAATCAATTTTTCTGTACGCTCTGTTGTTTACCAGTGTTGTTATTGTTAAATATGACTAAAACTAAAGCTATTAAAATTTGTTTTCAGTCATTGAAATCAAGTAAAACATACATTTTGGAAGAAAAAAATAAACTTAAAAAATGTAAACGAAAATTATAAAGGTTGCCTGTTAAAAGTTAAAGTACTAAAATTACTAAAATTAAAAATATATATAAACAATAAAAAAATAAAACATAAAAATGAGGAAAGAACATTACTAAAACTAAAAAAAAAAAAATGCAGAAAATAAAAGTTAATTTCAAACATTAATAAATAATATAATACATGAATAATAACATAGTTGTATACTACTATATACTACTTTTTGTAGTTTTTTGCTAATGTAATATTCATGGATATTCTGTGCATGTATTTGTATAGTGTGCACAGTAAACATAGTACATATTGCAGCAATATTAAGAGTAGTATGTTAGTATGCTATTCTATTTATTGTGCAGAGGAAGGCTATTGCTAAATTTGGAATAGCATACTATTATTATTTCTTTCATATGGAGTAGTATGCAAGTATACCATATAGCAGAAATAGTAAGAGTAGTATGTACACAGAAAAAAAAAGCAACTGGCTTATTTCTTGCTATTGGTACCTGAAGTGTCTGCATAGCTGTACAGCATCTCCCCCTAGTGGCCTAATTATGAAACTAGCATGTCACCTGCTAATTTTACCATAAGAAACAACAGAATAAACAAGTTTATAATGTTTGATTTTGTCACCTTATGTCATCTCTCTCCAGATGCTCTCGTTTGTCCTTCACACCATCGTCAGAGGCTTCATCCACTCAGCCATCGGTGGACTTTATGCTGCTGTGTGAGTTTATCGATATTATCTGTAAAACATGATTAAGTTCTGCTTGTGATCATCTCTTTCGTCAGTAATAGCTGCATTTAAATAATGTAATATGATAACAAATAATCTGTTTGTGTGTCTGCAGGTACCCATCATCTCAGTTCGGCAGTCTGACAGGAATGCAGTCATTGGTTAGCGCTCTGTTCGCTCTGCTGCAGCAGCCTTTGTTCATGGCTATGATGGGACCACTGAAGGGAGACCCACTCTGGGTATGACACACAGCAAAGAGCTTTAGTAATGCTACATGGATTAAATGCCCGTCAGGCATGTTTTGACCTCCTCTGTATGTTTTTGTTTGCTGGTGTAGGTGAATGTTGGTCTGCTGGCTCTCAGCATGATGGGCTTCCTGTTACCACTCTATCTACTGTACTTCAGGAAAACCCTGCACAAAAAGAGGAAGGAGAAGGAAAATAATGCTAAAATCTATCTCAAAATCAATGGCACTGACGTACCAGAGGCATTTGTATAAAGAAAGCAGATAAAGGGAAAAACAGAGGCATGAGAATATCATCACAGCTAGACAAAAACACAAACGCAGAGACGATTAAACACTGTTGTGCCTCTTTCTTAGAGGTTTATTGAGTAACTCAGTAGACGAAAAGAGGAATGAGAGAGACAGGAAGCAACATGGGAAATGTGGCACCCCTCTTCTTTGACATTGTATTTGAATTGAAACAGATATTTTATGTTACGCATGTACACATGTGATAAAGTTTCAACCCTGACTGTTTCTCCATAATCTAAACCAGGGGCATTTCAGTATACAGCATATTAGTATATGCTTTTTTATATACACTGTTTATGCCAACTGGACGTTTTTGAGGAGGACTGAAGCTAGCCTGGCCTGCACAGACGATGTAATGATGTCAGTTTGTCTGTCTTGCCCAGGAACACCCAAACACCCCTAGTCATTCAACTAAACTTCACATAGGATTTCAGTGTAAACCATTATAGCCCCAGTTTTCACTGTAATAATTGTGGTGCAATGCAATTGTATTCACTAAAGACCACATTTTTCCTTCATAATGATCCACAAAGGGCCTTTTACATTTTTCTATGAAATAATGTTGTATTTATGAAAAAGATCTGATCACTTTTGATCATAGGTACTTTATGAAAGCCACAATTTATGCATTTCATATATGTTTTTACACTACATGTGCATGAGATGCATACATTAAAGAGGCTGAAATGCTTATGATCTGCAGTGAGTGACTGATCTGCGAGGTGATGAAGATGTCAGGGCAACAACAGCACTTTTAACACATGTCCCATAAACCCCTCAGGACCCATAGTTCCCTTTTTCTGTCTTTCTTGCACTAACATTCTGTGATATTTCAGAGTGTGTTGAGTCATTTATGTGTCACTGATCATAAGATCAAAATATAATGGACCTCTGAAGTAAAATATCATATAGAAAGCACAACGTAACTCACAAATGTGCCTTTTGTGTGGTTTACAGTGAAGTTAGCGATGCTGATGATAGCTGATGGGAGGACTGGAGCCACAGATACTGTAGAAATGTTGGTATGGTGTGTATGTATTTATTTCTTCAAAATCTAACAGACCATATGGACAATGCATATGGACTTATTTGCAAAGGTTTTTTTTTAGATTAACTTACATCTCAGTGTCGCACTGGCTGTTTGTTTGTTTTTTCAAAAACCTTCATGTATTATTCTATATGGCATTACTGTTGAGGATTATATTCAATAAAATTTGTAATTATTGCTAATTTTTGTCATGTATTATTATTTTATAGTGAAAACATCATAATAGTGTCTATTACATTCATTGTATGATTAAATATATCTTATATCTTAAGAAAAGAAAAGAAAAGCATGAGTTTGTTTACTCTGACGAAATTGTTAGTGTCATTTGACATTTGACCAGGCGTCTTTAAAACCAGTGGAGAAAAATGCAAAACCAAACCAAACATTTTATTCTGTTTTCTAATGATGGAA